TTTACTAAAATCCAAGGATTTATTTTGTCTTTCTTTGTGGTCTGTAGCAGAAGTGCACTAAACCTCATAATCTTTCCTGTGGCACACATGATCACATGTTTACTTGTTCTCTGAAAATGATTTTACATTTGCTTGAGGTTTGGTTATCATCTCTATTTCTAACATGGCTAACTCTAAAGGCTCCGAAATCATCTCAGCATCCACATCAGTTTCCAAAAATTGCATCATCAGAGAAATATTCAGAGCAGGCAGCTATGGACCCCGACTTAGATTTCTCGAATCGCATGTCCTGAGAGTTTGGGAGAACGAGAAGCCTAGATTTTCCTATTGCTTGCAGTCAATAGCTGGATAGGGGGATGGGCACAGACAGTATGTACTGCATGAGCAGTAAAGTCAGCTTGGACTGCACAGACATCGTGGTCGCAGGAGCCACACACAGGCTTACCAGAACAGTCACTGCCGATCTAACACTCGGGGCAGCAAGGAGTAGAATACTGTTGATCCTAACTGTGACCACAGAGATAAGAGCTCAGGCCCAAGAGACTTCTTTAAGGAGTTGTGGAGGATTCAGACCTTTATGGATTCAACTTAAAGGCAGACTCTGTGGACCATACTCAGCACTATACATTTGCTGACAAGCATGTTGTCTTCCCCAACTTTATGCCTCCAGTACAGGAAGAAATGGTGAAGACCGGGAAGAATTCGCTCCAGAAGTACAGCAGCCTTAAGCTCCCTTTTTAATGTACAGCTGATAGCTTTCCACAGTCCTTTCAAGTGAAAAAAAGGATCTCAACTATGGCCTATCATCCCCCAAGCATGTGGAACAACTGGGCCGGAACTTGCTTCAGAGGAAAGACATGTGTTATACAGTAATACTGATTTACTGGACAACTTACCATCCCTAGACATGGGTTTGCTGTCTGCAAACTTCAGACAACTTAACTTTCATAGGGCTCACAGAAGAAGAAGTTTGGTATCAATCTGAGGCAAGATAGCCGGAACAGGACCAAGGCCTGTGCCAAGAGCTAATGGAAGGTATATCAGAAAGGAGGTGAAGATGGACAGAAGTCATCCAGACACTCCAAAATCAAACACAAGCATTTTGACTTATAAGCTATGACTAACAATCCTGACGTGAGTCTTCCTGTCTGCTTTTGCAGACAATTGAACGATCATCACTACCATCCATTGGATCAGAGTCATGCTGCCTCCTCTTCTTGTCACACCCAGTAGGACATTGTTTTTAACTTAGAGACTTCAAGCTTTAAGCAGTGATGGCAGCTATAGACAAGCTCTTGAACAAGAAGGCTAGTGAGAACCCACTCTCAGGAAGTTATGGACCTCAGGTATCTTTATGATCTGGAGCACAGTCTCACACACAACATTGCGGCCAGGCACATCCCACAAAAGATCAACATCCTTGCCTTTGCTTGTGACATCCAGACAAGACACTGTCTTCGGGAGAAGCATTCAGGCAGATAGCTGTTGCATGGGAACAGCCTCACATTGACATGTTTGTGACGCTGCTCAACCCTCAAACTTACCAAAAGGATTCAGTGAGAAGACAAATGAACTGTTCTTTTCCACATATTCATGGCCCAGACGAGAAATCATTGGATGACGCTTTACTTAGTGGCTTGGCATGGCCCTCACGCCTGTGATTTCCACTGCCTTCTGGCCAACACTACTAACTAACAAAGTCAGATTCCACTGCAATCAAGAGCAAGTCCTCTTACATATCTGGAAGCTACCTCAGGACACTTCAGCTGTTACCCAGTCAATCTGACCTTCAACATCATCCTTGTACAATTAAGAGGAACCAATTCCAGTCAGTGGATAATCAGATACGGAATGGCCGACGATAATATAATAGTGCCTATGGTTTTGGACTTTTTTTCCACATCTCAGAGGATCAGCACCTCCTAAATTGCACCTTGGAAGGATGTCATTCAGCTCCAGCTTCAGTCCTCGCCAAGTATCCACTTTGGGAAGTATCTGATTCTAACCAGCTGACTCCATTCTTTCTTAGAACAAGGATATACCAAGGCAATGTATATCTACAAAATGAGATCTGTCAGTGGTATAATAAGGTCTGTTACACCACACATTTGAGCCTATGGATAAAGCATCATTAGATAACTTGGTTTGGAAAGCCAATGGCCATCTAGCTAACTGCTTCCAATGTGTCAGAGCTGCATGCCTTGGATGTAGGCTCAGCCATGTTCTTGAAGACTCCTTCTAGAGTTACTCTTAGAGTTTCCAGAGTTTTTTGTCAAGAACAAAAAGGCTATGGGACCACTGAGACAGTGCTCAATTATGCTTATACAATTCTAGCTCTTGCCCCAATGCTGGATCAAACTTTAAAAGGCTGATGCCCAGTCAGAGTTCTCAAATGGTATCTTCAAATGACGGAATCCTTCGGTCAAGGCTGCTGGCATCTCTGGATCTCTTACATGATGGTGGAAGAACAGTCTCCATCTTTCTGATCAGCCGACCACATAAGACATGAGTCATTTCCTCTGCTTTTTCATCCTGAAAGACCGTATCTCTAAAACAGATAATGTCTGCTTACAAATAGGTATCTTCTAGCACATTTAAATCCTATCTACACGGTGACATTCAGGATTTGGAAGGCTTACACTCCATGGGGTCTTCAGTCATCTACTAGTCATTTTTTCTACCAAGCCTCCTCTAGGGTCAAAGAAGGGGATGGTGTCAGTTGGTGTGCATGCTTGCTGTCGGACAGATTTGATGCTGAGCTCGGACTAGACAACCTTTGATCGGACAACTGACTGGACACACAAACACCCTTTGTGGAGAGTTACCTTATATCTCAGTCCTGAGGTTGGTTGTAGTGAATGCATGGATACTTTGTGCTGCATATCTCTCAAATGGAAGACTAAAGTTAAAGTGGTGGGCAGGGTTTATCAATTCAGGGATAAAACTTCACATCTTGTTGACAAGAATCAACTGGGAATTTAGGTCATTGTGATGTCATCAGATGTATCATTAACCACAACAACCAAATGCAGGTCTGTTTGTCTTATCAATTAATGATTAGTTGCTGATGTTTCTGGTTGTCTTCTTTACTTGTGTTAGGGCTACACTGGGCCTCCAAGCATTTTGTGGGATTTCAACAATAAAGTGTTAAAGGGATGTTATCGTAAGAATTATCAAAAATGAAAATAATTCTAAGAATATTACCTATGACACTTGAGGTTCAGGCCCACACATCCATCCCCCAGGAATTCCAGAGTTCCTTCTTTTAAGGTACCTAGAGAAAAATTAGGAGGTTTTCCTGCACTTTAGCTTGGGCAGATAACTATCGCAGATAATGTTTGTTGGACCTCAAGGCAGAAAGACAACTCAAATGCTTGGACTTCATAACTGTATTCAAGCTAATTCTGTGGATTCAGAAACAAGTTATGGGAAAAGGACAATCAAGTGTTAAAGGTATTATTAACAAGAATTTTTATCATTGTTGTTAATGTTAATATTCATATCTCTCTCTTAGCATGAGATAAACACATTGTCAACTGGCAACACTGACCATACCTCTCTGTCAACATGAGATATACACATTTAGTAGCAGGCAACACTGACCATACCTCTCTGTCAACATTAGATATACACATTTAGTAGCAGGCAACACTAACCATACCTCTCTGTCAACATTAGATATACACATTTAGTAGCTGGCAACACTGACCATATCTCTCTGTCAACATGAGATATACACATTTAGTAGCAGGCAACACTGACCATACCTCTCTGTCAACATTAGATATACACATTTAGTAGCAGGCAACACTGACCATATCTCTCTGTCAACATTAGATATACACATTTAGTAGCAGGCAACACTGACCATATCTCTCTGTCAACATTAGATATACACATTTAGTAGCAGGCAACACTGACCATATCTCTCTGTCAATATTAGATATACACATTTAGTAGCAGGCAACACTGACCATATCTCTCTGTCAATATTAGATATACACATTTAGTAGCAGGCAACACTGACCATATCTCTCTGTCAACATTAGATATACACATTTAGTAGCAGGCAACACTGACCATACCTCTCTGTCAATATTAGATATACACATTTAGTAGCTGGCAACACTGATCATATCTCTCTGTCAACATTAGATATACACATTTAGTAGCAGGCAACACTGACCATACCTCTCTGTCAACATTAGATATACACGTTTAGTAGCAGGCAACACTGATCATATCTCTCTGTCAACATGAGATATACACATTTAGTAGCAGGCAACACTGACCATACCTCTCTGTCAACATTACATATATACATTTAGTAGCAGGCAACACTGATCATATCTCTCTGTCAACATGAGATATACACATTTAGTAGCAGGCAACACTGACCATCCCTCTCTGTCAACATTAGATATACACATTTAGTAGCAGGCAACACTGATCATATCTCTCTGTCAACATGAGATATACACATTTAGAAGCAGGCAACACTGACCATACCTCTCTCAACATTAGATATACACATTTAGTAGCAGGCGACACTGATCATATCTCTCTGTCAACATTAGATATACACATTTAGTTGCTGGCAACACTGATCATATCTCTCTGTCAACATTAGATATACACATTTAGTAGCAGGCAACACTGATCATATCTCTCTGTCAACATGAGATATACACATTTAGTAGCTGGCAACACTGATCATATCTCTCTGTCAACATGAGATATACATATTTAGTAGCTGGCAACGCTGACCATACCTCTCTGTCAACATTAGATATACACATTTAGTAGCAGGCAACACTGATCATACCTCTGTCAACATGAGATATACACATTTAGTAGCAGGCAACACTGATCATACCTCTGTCAACATGAGATATACACATTTTAGTTCCATACCTCTCTGGCACTGACTTCAGCTTTATGTGTTAGCACAATACATGCAGATGGTAGTGGTGTAGTTAGTGTCTATGATCTGTTCCCAGGTAACATTGACCAAGCACAGTACTGTGATAAGATCAAGGGACTTGTTGATTTCCTTGGCTCGAAGTTGTCTCTGGATGAACTCACTATGATCTGGAAAATGCAGGTATGCTTCTGATGAGTATATCCATTTCTTTGATGGACATTGATTACAGATATGGAATGAAAATAGTTACATTTAGGAAGTATTGTGACCCTGTGTATATCCACCACCTAAATTAGCTACAAGTAATGTTCTTGCACGTGATTGGATGATGTTCAGTCAAGGTCACTTGGTGTGAAGAAGATGTTGGAAAAGGCTTGTGTACACATTGTCTTTGCATATATCATGAGCATTTAATTTGTATTTATTTACCGAAACTGAATTGATCAAATCTTGAGGTAGTTCACAGCTGTGATTGAAGGCCTAGGTCTTTATTCTTAAAAAGGCTTTTGACTTTGTTGATAATGTAACTTAGACTTTAATTTTCCAATTTGATGAGGGGTGCATGCTGAGAGTTTCTTCTCTTGCCCACACCAGACACTTATGATTGTAGGTTCTCCTTGATACTGATAGGTTTGTCAGTACCACTCCTGTCCCCATGGCTTTTACCAAAGTGGTTAATGTCTGAAATCTGATCACTTCAGGCTTTACCCCCACATCAAGCTGACATACTGTGATAAAACTGGCACACTGTTTAACCCCCTTGATGCCGAGTTTTTTTTCAGGCGAACATTTTCATACGGTTTGAAAAGTGAACGTTGTGCGAGAATTGCGCTCGCGTGGTCCTGGATCTACGTACGGCTATAAAATTACACAGAAATGTAGAATATTAAATTTCCTATCCGTTGGTATAAGTATAAGTGCAACTACCTCGGCGGTTTGAGAAATAGACACTGCTAAATGTTGTCCAAAGTTTGTTATGCCTTAAAAAACAGTAAATTTATCCGCTTTTTATCACGCACCGATAAAAGCACTGTGCTACGATTTTTTTAATGTGGCATCTTTACGGAAAGTGTGAGCGAAGAAAATACAGCCTGATATCTGAACGACATAAGTGTATATGATTTGGGTTTATGTGCTTATGCATAACGTTATACGCTCAACATTAAAAATGACTCGCAATAAATGTCCAAAATGGATTTTCTTCTATGACGTCAAACTACGACAGAGAAGTCATACACGTATAATGATAAGGGGGCATAACTCCGTTGTGCATAACACTAGGTCAATGTAACTCAGATCACTTGGAGAGAATTTGTTGTGGATACGGACGCTATATTTTCGTTATTTTATGTTCGTGGTGAACAAACTATTCCAATTCAAAGTTCCCCAATGTGAGCGGATGCAGTTTGGTAGTTTCACAATTTACAATAAAAATGACAACGTATTACATGTGAAAGCACGTAATAGCGATTTGGATGGCCCTATCCAATATATAAGTTAGTTCTTAGATTCACATATTCTCCTGTTGGTGTAGATGTAATTTGACTAATTTTGCATCGTTATTACCAGAATACTAGCCATATCTTCAAATGTAATGAAATTGCTGAAAATAATACAACATTTTAGTTGACGTCATTGCTTGTTTTATGCATTTTGCGACGTCGGAAAAAGACGACATAGGTATGCTGATTAGTATATATCTCACCTAATTTCCATTAATTGTATAAAAGGTCTCGGCTTCTACGTCAGAATTTAACACTCTTTAGACAAAACATAAAATGACTGATTTTCCATTTAAATAGTGTCCTGAATATATCAACAATTAGACGGTTTGACAGCATATCTTATTGTGAACAACACGCGCATCAGTTTGGCATCAATTTAACGTAAATAAAAATAATATTTCACGACACCCGAATATTTTGTTTGGTTTAAGAATTTTGTTTGTTTATGATTATGTAGCTTTTTCTCTTCATGCTTATGCAATGAAAGATGCAAAAAGATAGCTTTTTATATATGGAACTATATACCGGGTATTAGGATATGGATGTAAGATTTGTCCGAATTAACACATGAGATGGTATATATATTTTTCAACAATTTATAAATGTAGTTAGAGTTTGATATCCTGTCATCACAATATTATTTAATTGAATATGAATTGATTATGTTATCGAAAACAATGATAGAGAATCATAAAACGTTTCCAACAAACGCGCACCTGGCCGATCAATATGCATAATTCTTTTGTCTATAAAACGACACATAATTATGCAAAGAACAAGACAATTCCTTTAAATATGTGTGCATATACATTTCATACCATATATGGGTCATTTTCAAAATTGGTAGGATTTTCAATTCTTTATTACAGTAAATTCAAACTCCTCAAAATTTATTTAATTTTTATTCAAATCAAACCTCAAACACTTAATTATTCAAAAATACAAACATGCAGACTGAAATGTACTAATTGACCTTTTAATTGATACATATGTAATTAAAAGGGTGGGAGACTGTCCTGACCGTTACCACTTCTTAGTCAGAATATGGATTTTGAAATATAATTCATAAAAATCTTTTAAAGATGGCAGACACAGCTTTTACACAGACTTAATCAAACTTGAAGGTAAAAACTATTATCATGAATCTTGAAAGTGTTATTTTGTATCTTTCATTTATTTACCACAAAATTATAGCATTTTTCTAAAACATTATTATGTATATAGCTTTCAACAGGTAAAATTGTCTAAAATAAACATCAGCTACTAAGCCCAGAACATCTTTTGATGACACCAGCATAAAGAGGAGTGTTTCATGTATTATCATGAATTAATTAGAGCAGTCAATTAACACCAGTAACGGTTAGGACAATAGTGGTAACGGTTTGGACAGGAATGATAACGGGCTGGACATAAGCCTTAAACAGTTTAATTCAACACAGAAACAGGTAACATGAAAGGAAAAAATGATATCATTTACTTGAACTGCTAACCCTATTTTGGACAGACAGTGAAATGTGTATTAGAGATTGTAACTCGTAACTAATATGACATGTTTTCTTCCATGCTATGGTAACGGTTTGGACATTTGTCATATCAATATAAAACTTTTGAATGAATTTAGCCTTTTGAGTAAAAACAAACTGTAGCTTCTAAAGAATAGAAAAACATACCTGTCTAGATTGGAAATCACTTATAATCTAAAGAAGAGTGCAATTGGAGAACGAAATTGAATGAATAGTAACGGTTGTGACATTATTGGTAACAGTCAGGACATCAGTGTAACAAACAAATGTTATCCCTCTAAAATGTTGCAAAAGATTCAATTCTGAAAGGTACTGCAACAACTATGATACTGTACACATGGTCATGCTACACAGGCCACTGCATAGATGTCATTTTGCTGTAGATATTATGGTGCAATATTAGTCTCCACGAAATATACTTCTTTCATTCACTTGGATACCTTTAGCTTTTGTTGATAGTGAGATGGTTACACATATTTATCAAATAAAAAGGCCAACATATTAGCACCTATCAATATTCTAAGTAAATGGTAGTCTTACATATCTCACAAAGTCAAAACAGACTACATCAAAACAATCTTTAAAGGTTGGAATACAATTAAGTTATTTACCGTTACTACATTTTGTCCTAAAAATTACCTTTAATTCATAAAGACTATACATGTTATAGAAAATAGAAATTTAACGTGATAAATTTGTTTTGGTTTTTATTATCAAAAGCAGATAGATAAGTAAATAGAAATTTATTATCACACCATAGAACATATTCTTCAAAATTGAAATTTATTAAAGAAATGTCCCGACCGTTACTATTATTTGTCCAAACCGTTACTAGAGACTGTGTTTTTTATGCTACTACATCAAATCTCCTTTGAACAGTACAAGTCCATGCTTAAACTATCTTAACTCTTAAAGAAATTATAAATTTGTTATACTTCAAATATTAATGAATAACTTTTTGAAATGCAAATCATTTTGTCCTGACCGTTACAAGGACTGTCCAAACCGTTACTTTGCAGAATGGTAACGGTTTGGACAGTAACGGTCAAGACAATTTGTAAGTAAATCTTAAATAAAAAAATGAATGATCCCTAAAAGATTTCAAAGGACATGCCTTTCACCTCTTCCATTTCTGGGCACCATATCCATTGAAATTTTAAAAAAAAGAGATACATATTTGACACAAAATACACTGGTAATGGTCTGGACAGTTAAGGTTGACACATAACATTTATACTTATTTGACAGTGTCAGTTTTCTTCAAAATGTATTGAATCTCTTTATTTCATCTGCTGTCACATCCACAGGGGCTAGCTCAAACAGACACAGGAAGTAGTATTACAATCCAGCTCCAGGGAGATATTATTGCAGGAATTTCATACACTGGTAACGGTCAGGACACAGAATCACAGGACAAGCATGTTACAATTTGTAGAAAAAACCTTTTTTAAGTTAAAAATAATTGAAATGCAGTCTGAGTATGCTTGATCAATCCTAATTGGCATAATATGAATTAATTTGTTTATTTGCATTTACATTTACATTATTTGTGAACATTGATATTAGGACCGTCACCTCCGGACGGAGCAAATCTGCCAATTTTGACCCCAAAATGTGGTTAAGTATTAATTTCAAAATGACAAGACTAATGATATACCACATTTACTGACTAGTAAACATCTAAATATGTTTTCTTGAACAAAATAATCCTTTTATACTCACAGATTTAATTTTTATTCGGAACGGACAGAAAATCCTACCAATTTTGAAAATGACCCATATATAAATCATTTTCATTAATATTATCAGTTTTACATATTAGGTTGAATTAAATCACCGTTCATTAACCTGTTCATATGAAATTGCAATATTAGTCCAAATAAATTGAATATTGTACGTCATAGGAACTAAAGTAGTTGCAGTTATGGCTACGTTTGATCTTCTAACACTTGTGTAAAGGTTTAGAATATGGTATATTGCACTAAATATGTCAATTTCTTATGTAAATATGATTCAAACAATCAAAAACTTTCAAAGAATAAAACAGCGTAACCCCTATATGCACGTATGATATGATATTGAACAAGGCTAAATGTAGATACTGAAGTCAGTTTCATGAAAAAGTGTCTGAACTATACGCAAAATATACACCATAATACTGACAGTGTAATCGGAAGGATTGGGCGATTGTGTTTACTCTTGTTCAACTGACCTTCACCTCAAAGAAATTGCCTAATATGTAATTCTTACAAAATGGCGGCTTTGCTGACAAGGGTACACAGGATTTTGCGAGGACCCTTCCATTGATTCAGGGATCGTTTGTACATAAATATGAGATGTAAGTAATCAGAATGATTCTGACTATCTGTGTATTGTTATATGTTTTTATCGTTTTCACTATATGTAAGAGAAAAAGCCAGAAATGCAGATAATTTATCGTTGTCGTTCTGCGTGAGTTTGCGTCAGTCATGGCATCACGCTGCTTGGAAACTTTGACAATTTGTTATGAATTATCAAATCATTGCATTATATCTATTTATAATTTCCTATTTCTTACTACGATACTCTTTCCATGCATATCCCAAAGGTATTGAGCCATTGGAAGCAATGAATAGACGGATGAATGTTGAAAAATTTCAGAAAATGTTACGCAGCACAGCGTTCGTTTTCACACCCAATATGTTTCGTCTCATTTTATCTAGACAGTTGGTATTGGTGACACAGACCAGTTGCAATTAGATTATAAAATGTATGGGGAATTCAGTGATGCATTTTTTGAAGCTGAATATGAAATATACGTGATGTAATAGGCGTCTCAATACCGGCCGTCGCGAAACGTGATTTTGTAAACACTATCCAATATGGCGGAAAGCGCTCTACGGCGTTCGTGTAAGTGCATTTTTGAAAACATCCCAACCGATTCTAGACTCATCGGCAACGTTTCAGAATTATAATTAGCGATTTCATGTAAAACTGATATCAGTGATCATGAATATGTTATTTTTGAAATTCAATACTCCCAGTAATTATCCGATTTTCACATTTCAAAACATACAGAAAATAACGCTGTGAATCGCGATTTCGTACTATGTCAAAAATGGCGACATTTTCGATGAAGCCTATTTTGAAAGGTCATTTTCAGTACTTGAGCTTTGTGTAAAATAATAGTGGATGGTATCAAGAAACAGGAAATTTCCCGGAGAATTCGAAACTGTGAAGTGTATTTGTGTGCGTGGGATGTTTTGATTTTTATTGGACTTGAAATTGAGGGTTGAAGTGGAAGGACATATATGTCCCTGTGGCATCCAGGGGGTTAAAGTAGCATTAAACTCAACTCACACCCACAGAGGTGTTTTGCATTGGGCACATTGTCCTAAACCAAAGTGAAACAACAAGTACTTGTTACATTGTTATTAATAAGATTGCTGACGACATGGGACTTTGTTTTCAAGGTCCTGTATTGGGCATGTGGCACCTGATGTGGCCAACTTAGATGATTCATCACATATGTTTTTTATGGGAAGGTTTGTGAGCATTCTGGAAATAAGGATAGGTAGGCCTGCTCCTGCTTTTGCTATTTGTAATATGTAACAATGCATTACAGGCGTATTCTTCATCATCATCATTATCATCATCATCATCATCATCATCATTTATTTCGTACAGATGGCCATGAGGCCAACAGTACAACATGTGTAAAACAATTAGACAAAAACATGTATATGCGCCACACTGAGAATATAGATCTTATTACTTCAATAGATATGATTATGTGTTCATACTGGCCTTTTCATATACATTTGAAGTTTCAAACTCCATTTAACATAATAGTGGACTGTGATCTGTGCATGATGTTGTTTCTAACTTCAGAATGGTCAGACAAACAATGTGATTGACAACATTCACTCCATCATGGCAGCAGCTGCAGTGAAGTTTGAACCACAACAACTTGAACATTTGTTTCGACTAATACAAAAGGTATGTAGCTTCATATAATCTCCTGCTCCCTGGTATTAAAAAACACAATACGGAAACAGTCAGTGTGTGATTAATCCAGTCTGTTACAGGGATTATTAGACAGTTTAATTTCTGTGTTATCAATATCCAGTACCAGTCACTTCAGTCCAGGGCGTGCTTTCATCACTGACACACTGGAATAAATTCATGAAGTGAAATATTGTTTCAGAAATGGCAGGATGACAACGATCGTATCCGAGAAAAACTGTTGAGTCTCATTGGAAAAATTGGAAAAGATGCACGTGTTGGAAAAACCACAACTCGGGTAAGTATATCTCTAATTGTCCTTATCCCTGTATGCATGAAGCTGCTTTCACTTTCAGAAGGAACTTGCCCGCTCCCTTTTTAAGAAGGGTTATTCTATTGAAATGAGTTCTTTATGGCACTGAAGAAATTCTTTGACACCACATATTATCCATTTCATGAGTTTATGTCATCTTCCAGCCCATTCCCTGAAACAGATGTCCATGCTTTATGGATTGTGTCTTGATAGAGTTAGGGGAACAGAATATCAGGCTCTGTGAGTTGGCTGATTATGTGTAACACTGTTTTGACTCAATAATATGATGTAGCTGTCATGTTACCTACTGAAGTGTGTCACAAAATTCACTCAAACAAAAAGGTTTGGGATACCCTAGTGGTTGTCTGTTGCATTGAAGACTCCACCCACTAGCTGGAGTGGTGCCAGTAGTGACATAAAATGCATTGAGTGTTAATTTCATTTGTTTAAATGGTTAACATATACCGTATATTACCGTCTATAAGACAACCCCATGGATAAGACGACCCCCAAACTTGACCCTTAAAATCAGTGTCAAAATGGTATGTTTCGTGCATCCCCAAGTCGATCCCCTGCGATGGGGTCCTAATCGCGGCAAACACAGACCACAGACAACTGGCAGTTACCAATAATTATAACTTTGGTCCACATTATTCAAAGAATTCACAATCATATATATTTTTCCTTATCCTGACTCATGCTCTTTTGCTTGTTTTCTTCTTCTTGCGAACATAGTGGAACACTTGTATCTCCTTAATTGAAGCTCCCTTCAATGTAAAATCACTAATTAGTACTCACCAAGAGTTGCCTCCCTTTGCCTCCGCACGGGAAAAGGTGGCGCCACCCTCTGGCCTCATGCTTCACTCTCTCCTTCTTCGCCCAGTGAGCAGGATGTGAGAGCGCCTGTGTCTCCTTACACACTATATCCTTTGGTTTTTCTTAGTTAGTTACCTCCTATAGGTTACTATAGAGGTATAGCTAGTATCCTTCATTAATTTGTATTGATAATTAATCGTATTTCTACTGTTTATTCACGTGAGTTCGTGATTGTTCAGCTAGTATTACGTTGATGAAAATCTGTACTATTTGTAGATTACGTTTTTCTGCTGCTGACCCGCATGTATTATGCCCTAGTTGTTCTATGCCCTGTGCGTTTGATTCACGTTGCAGTTACTGCATTAATCTATCTAATTCTGCTTTTAATAAATATCATCTTTGCGTCTTGAGACGTGCAGCAGATAGGTCACGCAAACAAGGGTTAGACATGGCCGATACATCGGATTCCCCATCCAGTCAGCTGCTGTTGGTCGACCCCCCTCCCGTCTGGTGTTCCGCTAGAGTTCCCCTCGGAGGAGGGGCGTGGGATGCAGTCCGTCGCCTCCAAGAAGCGTCCTGCCTCCCCAGACATCCCGTCATCGCAGCCAAAGTCTAAGAGGGCCTCGACGGCGTCTTCTCAACGCAGACTTCGTACCCCCAGGGCAGCGTCTACCTCCAAGGGAAAGTCTACGAAGTCGTCAAGAACTTTCTCAGCCGAGATCGTTCCAGCCGCCGAACTGGGCCTCTACGATGATCAGCCGATCATCATCCCCGACCTACGCCACAAGAAGCGACCGGTGACAGCTACAGTGACATCAGCAGAGATCGCCATGCAGCCTGATGTCTCTACACTGATGTCAGACGACCTCCTTGAGGGCCCCGCCGCTAACATCGCAGAGAGGGCACCGACTACTTCGTCGCAGACCATCCCATGATGGAAGACCACTACAGACTGGAGAAGCAGCCAGCCCAGGGCCTGAGCCTTCGCGAAGGCTCCAACGCAGACGACACCCCAGAGGGACCCCCCGTCAGCGTAGCGGCCACGACGAAGCCACCTTCGCGAAGGAAGTCACAGACCACCTCGACGAGGGACCCAGATGTACAGCCTTCGCGAAGGCCTTCGCGAAGCGAGATAGATCATCACCTTCCTCGGCTTCCTCCTTAGATGCGGACTCAGACCACCAGACTTCACGGAAGCCTTCGCGAAGGTCAAGTCGCCGTTCCCCAGGACCGGACGCAGAGGAAGCCTGACCCCAAGGACACCTGACCCCAGATCATCGTCGTCCAGAAGGACATCGAGGGACTACACAAGAGCTTCGCGAAGCTATCAACATTCTCCTCACAGGTCTCCGAGAAGGTCAACCCATAGACGCAGATCACCAAGACGATCACCTCGCCATTCACCGCGCCGATCTCCTCGTACATCACCACGTCGATCTCCTCGCAGGTCACCACACAAGTCTGCACAGAAGTCTACATTCAGGTCTCCCCGAACGTCACCCGACACAGCGGTAGAAACACACAGTCCACCATCTGAAGAGCATCAACCTCTCATCAGCGATCCTGGGATAGAAGATGATGGAGGCATCATTTTCTCAGAAGCTGAGATACGATATTGGATGGTAAACAACCTAGACCTTTCTTCACCTTCCAAGAGTGGCAACTCGGCGCATACATACCTGATGAAGGAAGACGATGCAGATGCCGTCACCCTACCTCCGATCGACCCGATTGCTGCGGTGCCACAGAATCTAGATACAGCCTTCCATAAAGCCACGAAAGTTCAGACGCCACATGTTCCGAACTTTCACGCCAAGAAGTTCTCAACGCATAACATGGACCCCTTCTTCAAGGCACAAGACATCGATAAAAACTACAAGCTGATCAGCGATGTCAAGAACAAGAACTACAAGATTGACGATCGCAAGCTGGTGCAGATAGAAACCATGACGAGACGCATGTTCTTTGGCCTTAATAGATCTAGAACGATCAATGAGACACTTATCACCAGATTTCGTAACACGACCTCTGAAGATGATGGGATGATCTACTCGGCCTTACTGATGCAAAAGAAGGACCAGCAGTTCCTAACGGATCATCTCACATCTGTCTCAGCAGCGCTAACCTTAGCTCGTCGTCAAGGCCTCCTCGCTTCCTGCAGCTGGGGTGAGAACTTTACAGCTCCACTCTATACAGCCCCGTGGTCTTCCCCATCCATCTTTGACGGAGGAATAGACAAAGTCTCCAAGGAAGTCACTAAGGATTCCAGAGAAGTCCTTATGATTAAGTCGATGGACACGCTAGCCAGCATCATCAGGCAGACTTCACAAAGATACTCAGGGAGATCTAAATTCACTGGACTACAGAGAGCACGGGATAGGAAGATGGCCAGCTCCAGGGGAAAAGATTCTTTTCAATTAAGCATATGGCAACTATAGAGGAGGATCAGGAAGAGGCAGGACACCCAGAGGTTCCCGCAACTATAAACGCTGAAAGACAGGTTCGGAACGACTGGAGTCTTCCACCCCCAGCCGTTCCAGTACAACCGTCACAAGTGGGTGGACGCCTCCAACTACACTGGGAGAACTGGGGAATGTTACAAGACCCTTTTGTCTCCAACATTCTTCAACACGGATTTCGTATCCCACTACAGGCCACGCCTCCGCTGACAGTCAACCCTCACAAGTTCGACTTCCAGGCACAACAACTACCAAAGTTAAGAGAGGCTGTTACATCACTCCTAACCAAGCAGGCCATAGAAGTACTAGATCAAGTAAACATCGAACCAGGCTTCTACTCCCCAGTTTTCCTAGTACCCAAGAAAAACTCCAAGGAGAAATACAGACTCATTTACAACATGAGCATATTCAACAGGAATTATCTACGCAAACCGCCAAAGTTTCGCATGATACATCTACCTCAGTTACGGCAGTTGATTCGTCCCATGGATTACATGGCCAGTATAGATCTGCAAGACGCATATCTACACATCCCGATACATCCCGAATCCAGGAAATACCTACGATTTACACTAGACGGGCTGCATTACCAATGGAAAGTACTCCCATTCGAATATCATCAGCCCCTGGCTATTCAATGAGGATAACGAAACCTATTGTCACCTATCTACATCGCCTAGGGCTACGAGTGCGCTCTACCGACGACGACGGGATACAAGTAGATCAAGATCCACAGCGCCTCAAACTACAGTTAAACTACATCATAAAGCTACTAACACAGCTAGGATGGTTAGTAAACTTACTCAAGTCGGACCTAGTACCATCGCAAGATCTGCAGTTCCTAGGCATTCGATTTATCACGACTCTCAACCGTATCGTCAGTATTCAGAAGACCGCTGGCTCAAGATCCAACAGACCATTCCGCCAGCTCTACTCTCTCTCGCTACCACTCACGACATTGGCAGAGCCTGTTGGGTCTCCTCACATCAGCCCAAGACATGACAGTCAGAGGCAGACTACAGTTATGTCCGTTACAGGTCTTCATCAATGCACATCTCAACGACCTACAACCATTCAGTCTACCAAACACCTCAGACCTCATCTACTATGGTGGACCAGGAGGTCGAATGTCTGCGGAAGGTATTTGTTTAGCAGAGCAGGAATTCAAAACCCATCTATATGTAGACGCTGCCGCCCAAGGTTGGGGAGCTCATCTCGCCAACCGGACGGCATCAGGGTTATGGAATCAGCAAGAAAGCAAGCTCCATATAAACATGTTAGAGATGAAAGCGGTAATCAACGCCATACTTCATTGGAGCACCATTCTACAAAATGCGCATCTGATGATTCATACCGACAACTCGACAGTGGCGTTTTATGTGAACAAACAAGGCTCAACGAGATCACTGAACCTATTGACTTTAAGCTTTCAACTGTTCGATCTAATCCACGATCTCAACCTACATGTCAGAGCATGTCACATTCCCGGAGCCAAGAATGTACTAGCAGACGCACTCTCTCGGCCACATCAACCGTCACCGACAGAATGGATGCTCAATACAGAAATCTTTGCACAGATTATCAAGCAAATAGGAGCTCCGCTAGTAGATCTATTATTCCACACGCTTCAACAATCAGCTACCGACATTCGTGTCACCAGTCCCAGCCCCACAAGCATGGGCAACGGACGCTTAAGCATATCCTGGGAAG